AAGTCAGCTTCAGTAAAGTCAGCTTCAGTAAAGTCAGCTTCAGTAAAGTCAGCTTCAGTAAAGTCAGCTTCAGTAAAGTCAGCTTCAGTAAAGTAGCTTCAGTAAAGTTAGCATCAGTAAAGTCAGCTTCAGTAAAGTCAGCTTCAGTAAAGTCAGCTTCAGTAAAGTTAGCTTCAGTAAAGTCAGCTTCAGTAAAGTCAGCTTCAGTAAAGTCAGCTTCAGTAAAGTCAGCTTCAGTAAAGTCAGCTTCAGTAAAGTCAGCTTCAGTAAAGTTAGCTTCAGTAAAGTCAGCTTCAGTAAAGTTAGCTTTAGTAAAGTTAGCTTCAGTAAAGTCAGCTTCAGTAAAGTCAGCTTTTCATTAAAGTCAGCTTCAGTAAAGTCAGCTTCAGTAAAGTTAGCTTCAGTAAAGTCAGCTTTTCATTAAAGTCAGCTTCAGTAAAGTTAGCTTCAGTAAAGTCAGCTTTTCATTAAAGTCAGCTTCAGTAAAGTCAGCTTCAGTAAAGTCAGCTTCAGTAAAGTCAGCTTCAGTAAAGTTAGCTTCAGTAAAGTCAGCTTCAGTAAAGTCAGCTTCAGTAAAGTCAGCTTCAGTAAAGTTAGCTTCAGAAAAGTTAGCTTCAGTAAAATCAGCTTCAGTAAAGTCAGCTTCAGTAAAGTCAGCTTCAGTAAAGTCAGCTTCAGTAAAGTTAGCTTCAGTAAAGTCAGCTTCAGTAAAGTTAGCTTCAGTAAAGTTAGCTTCAGTAAAGTCAGCTTCAGTAAAGTCAGCTTCAGTAAAGTCAGCTTCAGTAAAGTCAGCTTCAGTAAAGTCAGCTTCAGTAAAGTAGCTTCAGTAAAGTTAGCATCAGTAAAGTCAGCTTCAGTAAAGTCAGCTTCAGTAAAGTCAGCTTCAGTAAAGTCAGCTTCAGTAAAGTCAGCTTCAGTAAAGTCAGCTTCAGTAAAGTAGCTTCAGTAAAGTTAGCATCAGTAAAGTCAGCTTCAGTAAAGTCAGCTTCAGTAAAGTCAGCTTCAGTAAAGTTAGCTTCAGTAAAGTCAGCTTCAGTAAAGTCAGCTTCAGTAAAGTCAGCTTCAGTAAAGTCAGCTTCAGTAAAGTCAGCTTCAGTAAAGTCAGCTTCAGTAAAGTCAGCTTCAGTAAAGTTAGCTTCAGTAAAGTCAGCTTCAGTAAAGTTAGCTTTAGTAAAGTTAGCTTCAGTAAAGTCAGCTTCAGTAAAGTCAGCTTCAGTAAAGTCAGCTTCAGTAAAGTCAGCTTCAGTAAAGTCAGCTTCAGTAAAGTTAGCTTCAGTAAAATTAGCATCAGTAAAGTAGCTTCAGTAAAGTCAGCTTCAGTAAAGTTAGCTTCAGTAAAATTAGCATCAGTAAAGTAGCTTCAGTAAAGTCAGCTTCAGTAGTTAGCTTCAGTAAAGTCAGCTTCAGTAAAGTCAGCTTCAGTAAAGTCAGCTTCAGTAAAGTCAGCTTCAGTAAAGTCAGCTTCAGTAACGTCAGCTTCAGTAAAGTCAGCTTCAGTAAAGTCAGCTTCAGTAAAGTCAGCTTCAGTAAAGTCAGCTTCAGTAAAGTCAGCTTCAGTAAAGTCAGCTTCAGTAAAGTCAGCTTCAGTAAAGTCAGCTTCAGTAAAGTTAGCTTCAGTAAAGTCAGCTTCAGTAAAGTCAGCTTCAGTAAAGTCAGCTTCAGTAAAGTCAGCTTCAGTAAAGTCAGCTTCAGTAAAGTCAGCTTCAGTAAAGTCAGCTTCAGTAAAGTTTGCTTCACGAAAAGTCAGCTTCAGTAAAGTCAGCTTCAGTAAAGTCAGCTTCAGTAAAGTCAGCTTCAGTAAAGTCAGCTTCAGTAAAGTCAGCTTCAGTAAAGTCAGCTTCAGTAAAGTCAGCTTCAGTAAAGTTAGCTTCAGTAAAGTCAGCTTCAGTAAAGTCAGCTTCAGTAAAGTTAGCTTCAGTAAAGTCAGCTTCAGTAAAGTCAGCTTCAGTAAAGTTAGCTTCAGTAAAGTTAGCTTCAGTAAAGTCAGCTTCAGTAAAGTTAGCTTCAGTAAAGTTACCTTCAGTAAAGTCAGCTTCAGTAAAGTCAGCTTCAGTAAAGTCAGCCTCAGTAAAGTCAGCTTCAGTAAAGTCAGCTTCAATAAAGTTAGCTTCAGTAAAGTTAGCTTCAGTAAAGTTAGCTTCAATAAGGTTAGCTTCAGTAAAGTTAGCTTCAGTAAAGTCAGCTTCAGTAAAGTCAGCCTCAGTAAAGTCAGCCTCAGTAAAGTTAGCTTCAATAAAGTTAGCTTCAGTAAAGTTAGCTTCAGTAAAGGTAGCTTCAGTAAAGTAAAGTTAGCTTCAGTAAAGTCAGCTTCAGTAAAGTTAGCTTCAGTAAAGGTAGCTTCAGTAAAGGTAGCTTCAGTAAAGTTAGCTTCAGTAAAGTCAGCTTCAGTAAAGTCAGCTTCAGTAAAGTTAGCTTCAGTAAAGTCAGCTTCAGTAAAGTCAGCTTCAGTAAAGTTAGCTTCAGTAAAGTTAGCTTCAGTAAAGTCAGCTTCAGTAAAGTTAGCTTCAGTAAAGTCAGCTTCAGTAAAGTCAGCTTCAGTAAAGTCAGCCTCAGTAAAGTCAGCTTCAGTAAAGTCAGCTTCAATAAAGTTAGCTTCAGTAAAGTTAGCTTCAGTAAAGTTAGCTTCAATAAGGTTAGCTTCAGTAAAGTTAGCTTCAGTAAAGTCAGCTTCAGTAAAGTCAGCCTCAGTAAAGTCAGCCTCAGTAAAGTTAGCTTCAATAAAGTTAGCTTCAGTAAAGTTAGCTTCAGTAAAGGTAGCTTCAGTAAAGTAAAGTTAGCTTCAGTAAAGTCAGCATCAGTAAAGTTAGCTTCAGTAAAGTCAGCTTCAGTAAAGTCAGCCTCAGTAAAGTCAGCTTCAGTAAAGTCAGCTTCAATAAAGTTAGCTTCAGTAAAGTTAGCTTCAGTAAAGTTAGCTTCAGTAAAGTCAGCTTCAGTAAAGTTAGCTTCAGTAAAGTCAGCTTCAGTAAAGTCAGCCTCAGTAAAGTCAGCTTCAGTAAAGTCAGCTTCAATAAAGTTAGCTTCAGTAAAGTTAGCTTCAGTAAAGTTAGCTTCAATAAGGTTAGCTTCAGTAAAGTTAGCTTCAGTAAAGTCAGCTTCAGTAAAGTCAGCCTCAGTAAAGTCAGCCTCAGTAAAGTTAGCTTCAATAAAGTTAGCTTCAGTAAAGTTAGCTTCAGTAAAGGTAGCTTCAGTAAAGTAAAGTTAGCTTCAGTAAAGTCAGCATCAGTAAAGTTAGCTTCAGTAAAGGTAGCTTCAGTAAAGTTAGCTTCAGTAAAGTAAGCATCAGTAAAGTTAGCATCAGTAAAGTTAGCTTCATTCGTTGAGAGAAAATGTGCGCCTTTGGGGTTTGTAGTCTTTGTAATCTCGTATTTTCACAGTCTTATACCTCAACAGTTTTACATCAAACTGCGACTTTCTTGACTTTAAAATGTATCTTTTAAATTGACAAACATCATATGTGTAATTCAGGGCACAATTCAAACAAGATCAAAATATTTGTTGTCTCTCGCCATTGACTACCATACAATATTTTTCCGAAATAAGGTCCCATAGTTGTCGACCGGAAGGGGAGGGGCTTAGGCTCTCAATGACTTGAAGATAGTTAACTCCACATCATCTTCATATATTCATCAACTAACCATTCAGAGAAGTTCAGTTGCTTCTACATGTTGTCACTTCTTCTTAGTCTCTCCATCTTTGTCTGACTCCTTTTGAACATAAAAGGCTAAAAGTTCCTGAATTTTTCAGTGCGTGTCTGTGTGACGTAATCAGAGCTGCACATACATACACACACACACACAAGCTGTTGTAGCTCCGCCCCCTCTGCCGGCAGCTCATTTGCATTTAAAGGGACGGACACAAAAACGGTGTGTTTTTGCTCACCCTCAAAAAGTGACAATTTTAACATGCAATATAAAAATGATCTGTTGGTTATTTTGAGCTAAAACTTCACATACTCACTCAGGGGACATCAGAGACTTATTTTACATCTTGTGTAAAGGGCATTATAGGACCCCTTTAAAGTGTCATGAAACCCCCTGAAAAAATTGGACCCACGCGAATGTCTGAAGTATTGTTCATTGTTAGCTCATGTAAACTGAATAAAGTGTTTCCAAAATAAACAAATTATTTATTTAATGCATTTTAAACCATGCTTTGATATCATAGTTTATAATATCCATGTATTAACTAATTCATTAAGCGCATGAGGAAAGAGATTCTCATCACACCATGAGGAGGTTACTGGATCACGACATTCACCGATGTTGTTTGACCCTAGAGAGCGGGTGAAGGGCTTAGAGAGGTGCATTATGGGACACGTACGTGTGTAGGGACAGACCCTGCGTAGTCATCAAGCCAGCTAGTGTTAAAGTCCCACTGAAGTGCCTCGGATCGCACAGCTTTGTTTGATGCGCTGACGTCATTTCCTCTGAAACAGGAAGCTAAGGCGGGACATATTGAATAGCTCCTCCCCCTTTCAAATTGCCAATAGCATTTAGTTTACCTCACAGACTGACAGCACCATGGAAGCGGATCCGAGCGCCGATGATACACTGGATTCAATAGTAGAGGATTCATTCATTTCATTCTTAACATACAGATAGAAAACGGAATAAAACTGGAGTGTTTGAGCAACCGAACGAACACACACTCCAACACATAATGCTCTGTGTGTCAACCAGGTGGTGTTTATAGCATAGGGGGCGGAGCTTCAGATTCTAGAGAGCATTTGATTGGAGAGAAGCTGTGATGACAAGCTGAAGTCCGCGGTGATGTCATAAAAATCAGTGATCCATTTTAGTAGAAATGAAATAAAATAAGCTTTCTAGACAATAAAAAAAATTAAGTATAATTTTAGGGCTTCGAGTCATTTCGGAAGAACGAAATTGCTCAGAAAAACCCAAAAATAACCAATATGTGTTTTTAGTGTTTTCAGTGATGTGCAACCTGTACATATCTGTTTATATTAAAAAAGTGTGTGTGTGTGTGTGTGTGTAGACTGGCTCCGTCAGTGAGATCCCCCTACAGCGAGGTGTCGTCTGTGTGTGTGGCGCGCCCTAGTGGTCAACCACCGGATAGCAGAGAGATGTTTAACCCCTCCATGACCCCTGGAGCCTGTATGGACCCCTACATGCGCCCGCCACACACCCCCCCGCCGCACGGCATGATGGGACACCGAGGGATGCCCCCACCCGAGGGTGAGACTGTCTTTACCCATCACTCACGCTTCATATACAGGTGAAACTCGAAAAATTAAAATATCATGCAAAAGTTCATTTATTTCAGTAATTCAACTTAAAAGGTGAAACTAATATATTATATGGACTCATTACATGCAAAGTGAGATATTCCAAGCCTTTATTTGTTATAATTTTGATGATTATGACTTACAGATATGAAAACCTTTCACAATAATTTGGGGTTTTCATAAGCTGTAAGCCATAATCATCAAAATTATAACAAATAAAGGCTTGGAATATCTCACTTTGCATGTAATGAGTCCATATAATATATTAGTTTCACCTTTTAAGTTGAATTACTGAACTTTTGCACCATATTCTCATTTTTCAAGTTTCACCTGTACTCTGAGTCACTCCTCACATTAAAGGATCAGTTCACTTTAATATTAATATTTCCTGATAATTTACGCTCCTCCACGTCATCCAAGATGTTCATGTCTTTCAATGACACAATTTGGACCTTCAACCTGTTGGACCCCATTGAAGTCCACTATATGGAGAAAAGAAATTTACCTAAAATACTTGTAAACAGAAAAAAATGCGCATTATTAATGTAATATTGACATTTGAGTCTGTCACGAAGGGATTCAAACACTTCTGTTATTTGGCGAAGTCGGTTAAAATGTAAAGCAAGTTAAAAATAAATGTTTTTATCCTCCACGTCATCCAAGATGTTCATGTCTTTCTTTCTTCAGTGGAAAAGAAATGAAGGTTTTTGAGGAACACACTCCAGGGTTTCTCCATATAGTGACTTCAATGGGGTCCAACGGGTCGAAGGTCCAGATGTGAGTTTCAGTGCAGCTTCAAAGTCTCGACACGATCCAGCCGAGGAATAAGAGTCTGATCTAGACAAACCAGCGGACATTTATAACTAAATACACATTTATATACTTTTAGCCACTAATGCTGGTCTTGCACTCGCTGTGCTGCGACACACATTACGTGATCAGGGTGAAGGAAACTCACATTTCGACCCGTTGGACCCCATTAAAGTCACTATATGGAGAAATCCTGGAGTGTGTTTTCCACTGCAGAAAGAAAGAACATGAACATCTTGGATTTAGTAAATTATCAGGGAAGTTTAATTCTGAAGTGAACTGATCCTTTAAGAGCAGTGTAATAATATATCAGATTATTGGACATCGAATCTCAAAACTTAGTGTCAGACCTATAATTGTGAACCGTATTGGTGTTTCAGGAGTCAGTGGCGCCCCCTACTGTAACCCGAGCATGATGTCATCTCATCACACACTCCCACATCATCACCCGTCGGGGTCTGAACTCATGGGCTCAGGAGACGGTGAGTCAAGCCAAGACTTAAACATTAATATAGCTAATATTTCAATAATTTAACAACGCATTCGCATGTCCACGGATCTCTAACGTGGGTTAATGGTCACATGGTTGCACTTAACTCTTTCCCCGCCGGCTCAGAATATTTTGTTTGTGCAATATATCGAAAGAAAGAACTGAGCCTTTGCTTTTAAACAAACACGTTTATTCTAACTTCAAGCATTTTTTTAAAAATCAAAAACAACTTTTTTTTTTACAAAAATGAGAAAATCTTTTTTTTACTTTTTTTTTTTTTACAAAACTACCACATGCATGAGCGATGCTTGTTCGCTTGTGTTTTGATTGGAGATTGTGTCCTCTTTCAGAAGATGTGTAATAGCGCCCCCTACCGTATAACAGTGAAAACACAGAAAGCCAGAAAATGGCGGGGAAAGAGTTAAAAAACGTTTTATTTACACTTTAAATGTATTTATTTTAATGAATTGTTAGTTTAACTCACAAACCCCAGCATTGGAAACCTTGCAGTAATTAAAGTTAATGTATCCAAATTGAAATGGTAAAAATTTCAAGTGTTCGATTATGGTTGTTTTTTGTATTTTTTAAATGTTTAACTGTACATTTTTAGGATTTAATTCATCATTAGCTTTTTTTATCAACTCACAAACCCTGATATAAATATAAATTTATAAATCTACTATTGTTTGTTCATTGTTGGTTATTGTTCATTCACAATAAATAAATAAAAAAGGTTATATTGTAACTTAAGAATAATCAATGCAATAAATATTGACATCATATACAAAAACACACATTTCAAAGCAGCTTTACAGAAAATGCATGAGTCTACATTATAATTTTGAGTGATCTGTTATCAGAGGAGACTGTAAGTTATGTACAGGTGAAACTGGAAAAATGAGAATATGGTGCAAAACTTCAGTAATTCAACTTAAAAGGTGAAACTAATATATTATATAGACTCATTACACGCAAAGTGAGATATTTCAAGCCTTTATTTGTTATAATTATGATAATTATGGATTACAGCTTATGAAAACCCCAAATTCAAAACTAGAATATTGTGATAAGGTTTTCATAAGCTGTAAGCCATAATCATCACAATTATAAACAAATAAAGGCTTGAAATATCTCACTTTGCGTGTAATGAGTCTATATAATATGTTAGTTTCACCTTTTAAGTCGAATTACTAAACTTTTGCACCATATTCAAATTTTTCCAGTTTCACCTGTATTTCAGAAAGCTAACAGTAAGCTAAACATTTATTAAATTAAACAATGTTATAATTTAGGGCAGAAATAATGAGCTCATTGAAGATTTGAATACTTGTTTGTTAACAAATGATTATGATTGTTCATTCACAACACATTAAAAAAAGGTTATTGTAACTTGTAAACGTAGATCAATCAATGCAATAAATATTGCTCATTGTTTACATGTTAACGCATTGAAGCGTATTATAAAGACCAGAAGTGAAATGTGAGTTTTCTCTCTCTCTGTGTGTGTGTGTGTGTGTCCGCCAGCGTCCTGTTTCTCGACGCCTCGCTCGATGCTGAAGCTGAGTAAGAAGCGAGCGCTGTCGATCTCTCCGCTGTCGGACGCGAGCGTGGATCTGCAGACCGTCATACGCACCTCTCCGAACTCGCTGGTGGCCTTCGTGAACTCTCGCTGCGGGCCGGGCGCCGCCAGCTCGTACGGGCATCTGTCCGTCGGCACCATGAGGTACATGACCAGCCCTCATCCAAACCCTTCACATGATGTGGGGTTTAAAGGGTTAGTTCACCCAAAAATGAAACTGATGTCATTAATGTCTCTCCCTCGTGTCGCTCCAAGCCCGTCAGACCTCCGTTCATCTTCAGAACACAGTTTAAGATATTTTAGATTTAGTCCGAGAGCTTTCTGTCCCTCCATTGTAAATGTATGTACGGTATACTGTCCTTGTCCAGAAAGGAAATAAAGACATCATCAAAGTAGTCCATGTGACATCAGTGGGTTAGTTAGAGTGTGTTGAAGCATCGAAAATACATTTTGCTCCAAAAATAACAAAAACTACGACTTTATTCAGCATTGTATTGTGTTCTGGTTCTGTTGTGGATCCGCGTTCAGTGCCGCTGCTGGACAAGGACAGTATACCGTACATACATTTTCAATGGAGGGACAGAAAGCTCTCGGACTAAATCTAAAATATCTTGAACTGTGTTCCGGAGATGAACGGAGGTCTGACGGGCTTGGAGCGACACGAGGGTGAGACATTAATGACATCATTTTCATTTTTGGGTGAACGAACCCTTTAAGTCCAGTCACCTTTATTTACAGTAGGGCTGTCAATCTTCCTCTATAATACTATTCGGATTCCATTCCTAATTTTATTTAATATTCGAATAATAAATGCTCAAATTCATCCTATTATTAATATTTACGACATTACTCAGGCTTATGGATCGCCAATGCCACTATAGCATATGGTTGTTGTTACACGTTCTGTCCACTAGAGGGTCATCTAACATTACAATAAAGATTCGCGCTGATGGTTTTCGGCTAATATCTCCGCTAAAACACCAACAAAAATTCTGAAACTTTTATCGTTCTTTTCAGTTCGACTAGACGATTCGAATCCGTTGAGTTTTCACCGAGATATTTGCGCTTCACGGGCGCTTTGGCGGGCGCTTTTTTTTACGTCGTTAAACATTTACCGTTTTTGACAGTATTGTTATGATGATACAGCGTGGATAACGTGCACAATTGTGTTACGATTCAAAAACTGTATTGTTCATCAGACGAAACAAAAGCATTTCATTTTCACGTGCGTGTAAGCCAAGGAGGCAAAAAGGCAAGATTGCATATAAAAATAACGAAAAATATACATAAAAAAGCAATATTCGAATAGTAACTTCAGCATTTGAATAGTATTGATTTTTTTAATATTCGAATTATATTCGAATTTCGGAATTCGTTCCAACAGCCCTAATTTACAGTCAAACCAAAAATCATTCAGACATTTTTTTTTACTAGTGTGTGCAGGACACTATTGTTCATTTATGTAAGTGAGGAGAGCAAAATAAAGTAAATTGTGACATATTACACCCAAACATTCTTCATACAGTGACTACCAGTAAAATCTATACAAATTTGGGACCAGAAATTATTCAGACACTTGATTATCCCTCATGAAACCCCTCACCTGATCAAACATGAAACCCCTTTTTAAGTCAAGTCAGCTTTAGTTACAGGTGAAACTCGAAAAATTAGAATATGGTGCAAAAGTTCATTTATTTCAGTAATTCAACTTAAAAGGTTAAACTAATATATTATATAGACTCATTACATGCAAAGTGAGATATTTCAAGCCTTTATTTGTTATAATTTTGATGATTATGGCTTACAGCTTATGAAAACCTTTTCACAATATTCTAATTTTGAATTTGGGGTTTTCATAAGCTGTACGCCATAATCATCAGAAAAAAAATTAAGTAACACTTTATTTTACAGTGTCATTGTTACATGTGTTACATGTAGTTACCATAGTAATAACAGTAAATTAAGCATAATTACATGCAACTAACCTTCAACCAAACCCTAATCCTATAACCCTATAGGAAGTCTAACCCAGTTTTTTGTGTAACAACGTGTAACAAGTACAAAAAAAGGTTACACTTTATTTTAGGGTGTCATCATTGTTACAGTGTAGTTATATATTTAAGTATTAAGCTAACTACATGTACTTACTATAGGGTTATAGGATTAGGGTTTGGTTGAGGGTTAGTTGCATGTAATTATGCTTAATTTACTGTTATTACTATGGTAAGTACATGTAACATATGTGACAAGGACACTGTAAAATAAAGTGTTACCGAACATTTAAGCAAAGTAAATCATGAGTGTGACGTTAAAGCGTTGTTTACGCTTGTGCTTGTGTTTTCAGCCCGTCGTTGGGTTTCTCCAGCTCCATGAACATGAACTACTCGAGAGCGCAGGGGAACATATACAGTTCTCCATCCTCCTGTCACGGGCCGTCACCTCGCCTGCCTACACACAACCCCAGACTCCACGGCCCGCACAAACACACACACGTGAGTCTCTCTCTCTCCTGCCTACACACAACCCCAGACTCCACGGCCCACACAAACACACACACGTGAGTCTCTCTCTCTCCTGCCTACACACAACCCCAGACTCCACGGCCCACACAAACACACACACGTGAGTCTCTCTCTCTCTCCTGCCTACACACAACCCCAGACTCCACGGCCCGCACAAACACACACACGTGAGTCTCTCTCTCTCCTGCCTACACACAACCCCAGACTCCACGGCCCACACAAACACACACACGTGAGTCTCTCTCTCTCCTGCCTACACACAACCCCAGACTCCACGGCCCGCACAAACACACACACGTGAGTCTCTCTCTCTCCTGCCTACACACAACCCCAGACTCCACGGCCCGCACAAACACACACACGTGAGTCTCTCTCTCTCTCCTGCCTACACACAACCCCAGACTCCACGGCCGCACAAACACACACACGTGAGTCTCTCTCTCTCTCTCCTGCCTACACACAACCCCAGACTCCACGGCCCGCACAAACACACACACGTGAGTCTCTCTCTCTCCTGTCTACACACAACCCCAGACTCCACGGCCCGCACAAACACACACACGTGAGTCTCTCTCTCTCCTGCCTACACACAACCCCAGACTCCACGGCCCGCACAAACACACACACGTGAGTCTCTCTCTCTCTCCTGCCTACACACAACCCCAGACTCCACGGCCCACACAAACACACACACGTGAGTCTCTCTCTCTCCTGCCTACACACAACCCCAGACTCCACGGCCCGCACAAACACACACACGTGAGTCTCTCTCTCTCCTGCCTACACACAACCCCAGACTCCACGGCCCGCACAAACACACACACGTAAGTCTCTCTCTCGCTCCTGCCTACACACAACCCCAGACTCCACGGCCCGCACAAACACACACACGTGAGTCTCTCTCTCTCTCCTGCCTACACACAACCCCAGACTCCACGGCCCACACACACACACACACACGTGAGTCTCTCTCTCTCTCCTGCCTACACACAACCCCAGACTCCACGGCCCGCACAAACACACACACGTAAGTCTCTCTCTCTCCTGCCTACACACAACCCCAGACTCCACGGCCCACACACACACACACACGTGAGTCTCTCTCTCTCTCCTGCCTACACACAACCCCAGACTCCACGGCCCGCACAAACACACACACGTAAGTCTCTCTCTCTCCTGCCTACACACAACCCCAGACTCCACGGCCCGCACAAACACACACACGTGAGTCTCTCTCTCTCTCTCCTGCCTACACACAACCCCAGACTCCACGGCCCGCACAAACACACACACGTGAGTCTCTCTCTCTCCTGCCTACACACAACCCCAGACTCCACGGCCCGCACAAACACACACACGTGAGTCTCTCTCTCTCCTGCCTACACACAACCCCAGACTCCACGGCCCACACAAACACACACACGTGAGTCTCTCTCTCTCTCTCCTGCCTACACACAACCCCAGACTCCACGGCCCGCACAAACACACACACGTGAGTCTCTCTCTCTCCTGCCTACACACAACCCCAGACTCCACGGCCCACACAAACACACACACGTGAGTCTCTCTCTCTCTCTCCTGCCTACACACAACCCCAGACTCCACGGCCCGCACAAACACACACACGTGAGTCTCTCTCTCTCTCTCCTGCCTACACACAACCCCAGACTCCACGGCCCGCACAAACAAACACACGTGAGTCTCTCTCTCTCTCTCCTGCCTACACACAACCCCAGACTCCACGGCCCGCACAAACACACACACGTGAGTCTCTCTCTCTCCTGCCTACACACAACCCCAGACTCCACGGCCCACACAAACACACACACGTGAGTCTCTCTCTCTCTCTCCTGCCTACACACAACCCCAGACTCCACGGCCCGCACAAACACACACACGTGAGTCTCTCTCTCTCTCCTGCCTACACACAACCCCAGACTCCACGGCCCACACAAACACACACACGTGAGTCTCTCTCTCTCCTGCCTACACACAACCCCAGACTCCACGGCCCGCACAAACACACACACGTGAGTCTCTCTCTCTCTCCTGCCTACACACAACCCCAGACTCCACGGCCCACACACACACACACACGTGAGTCTCTCTCTCTCTCCTGCCTACACACAACCCCAGACTCCACGGCCCACACACACACACACACGTGAGTCTCTCTCTCTCTCCTGCCTACACACAACCCCAGACTCCACGGCCCGCACAAACACACACACGTGAGTCTCTCTCTCTCTCTCCTGCCTACACACAACCCCAGACTCCACGGCCCGCACAAACACACACACGTGAGTCTCTCTCTCTCTCCTGCCTACACACAACCCCAGACTCCACGGCCCGCACAAACACACACACGTGAGTCTCTCTCTCTCCTGCCTACACACAACCCCAGACTCCACGGCCCGCACACACACACACACGTGAGTCTCTCTCTCTCTCCTGTCTATACACAACCCCAGACTCCACGGCCCGCACAAACACACACACGTGAGTCTCTCTCTCTCTCCTGTCTATACACAACCCCAGACTCCACGGCCCGCACAAACACACACACGTGAGTCTCTCTCTCTCTCCTGTCTATACACAACCCCAGACTCCACGGCCCGCACAAACACACACACGTGAGTCTCTCTCTCACTGTTTTAGTTCATTTACAGTAACACTTTACACTAAGGTCTCATTAGTTAAAGGCAGGGTAGGTAAGTTTAAGAAACTAGCAGAAAACTGAGCGGAGAGGAGCGCAGTGCAGGAAGTGACATCACCTGTGTGTGCCTTGTGTGCCTGCGCTGACTGTATATGCAGGTACAGGTGGTTCTGGGGATTTTGACGGCTCTTTCTCTGCCATAATTGTGAGACTTCCTAGCTTCCGGCCGGGACGTGCCTCTCCTCTTCCGAAATGAGCGAGTCAACCGGGCGCGCACATGTGGGCGGCTCCTGTAGAAGCAGGGGTGGTTGCCATGGCAGCGAGGGAGAGTGACAGTCGCCCAGCCAATCAGTGCATTCGTTCCGAATGGAAACAGTAGCTGTGTTTATTGCAGCCCTGAGACGACTACAGACACTCGCTTTTTATACTCTCCTTTTCAGAGTACTTACATTTTAGAAATGTATTGGTATATAAAGACAGTTTAAACAAATTTGGGGAAAAGTGTTTTAGAAACAAACTGCCTTTAACTTTACTTAATGCATTAACTAACCGTGTACATTTGCACTATACATTTGCTACAGTATTTATTAATCTTTGTTAATGTTAGTTAATAAAATCACAACTCTTCATTGTAAGTTCAGGTCCAACACAAAAATATTAACAGATCCTTTAAATAATGTATTAGCAAATCAACTAAGATTAATAAATGCTTCAGAAGTATTTTTTACTCTTTTTATTTTAAATAATGCAGTTAACTAATGTCAACAAATAGATCCTTATTGTAAAGTGTTACCATATTTTACATTTCTATTTAGCTTTTTTAGTACTTCAACTTATTTTATTTTAGCATTATTTCAAAAATTTTCATTTTCTTTTACGTTTTCATCTAAATAGGGATGCACGATATATCGGCCACCATATCGGTATCGGCCGATAAATGTTCATTTTTAATGTTATCGTTATCGGCCCGATAAGAAAGTTTGTCCGATATATTAAAGCCGATAAATAATGTATTATTTCCCTCAGCTGAGACGCTTCAGATGCGCACTCTTCAACATGATGATTATGAATTGCTTGAAATATGATTGAAAATCACTTCAAAAAGTAAAATACAGTCCAGTGCAACAAGTCTGTCATATCGGCTACATACAATTATAACAAGAACATTATATTTGTGTGTTTGGGACGTGGCTTTTAATGGTGAGACTTTTGTTTTTATAATCAGGCTCTCAAAAATTATAAAAAAAATTGGATTTAGATTTATGTGCCAATATATCGGTTATCGGCTTTCAAATATAAAGAATTATCGGTTATCGATATCGGCCAAAATTTTAGCTTTATGTCAGTTGCACATCACCTTTATTTCTATAGCGCTTTATGCAATGCAGATTGTTAAGGTAAATGTTTCAGTAGTTTCAGTGTTAGTTGATGCTAATATTAACCCTGCTGTGTGTGTGTGTGTGTGTGTGTGTGTGTGTGTTCAGATGAAGACAGAACCGATCCTGGGAAGTGTGATGGACAGCATTAACATCAAGAGCCTGGAGGAGCACTCAGAGGGAGACGTGGCGAGTCCTTCATCAACGGGAACACAGGTAACGTCCCATCTTTGACTAATGTCATGTTCTAACTGTTCACATCCTCCACAATCCTGGTTGCAATCCACTTTATTCCTGACGATATTACTGCGTTTTGAATTATGGGTGGCACTTCCGGTTTGGGGAACTTCCATTCAAAAAGACTGAAACGAATCATATCAAATCATAAAACAAATAAAGCTTATCCATCAGTTTGACTGAATTGAGCTGTCAAATTCCCTTCATGTTTATTTTCAGACATCATGAGAATAACGTACTTTAACGTTAATGTTATAACGAGAATATATGAATAATAATATTGGGTAACACTTTACTTGAAGGGGTGTGCATAAGACTGACATGACACCTTCATAAGCATGACAGGACACATGCATGAATATGAAGGAGGGTTAATGCATGTTTATGACAACTGTCATTAAGTGTCATTCGCTCAATTATGACATTTTTAATGCAAATATGACATTGTTTGAGATGTCTTTGTTATGACACCTTGACATAAACCAATACATCATAACCTGTCAGTGTCTTTGTCATGACAACTTGACATTACCAAGACAACATAAATATGTCATAAACATGACATAGCAGATTAATTATCAAACTTAAGAAACCACTGAGCTTTATGGGTTAACATTACATTAAACTGTCATGTGGTTGGTTTTGACATTGGCTGTCATGAGGCATTATAACTGTGTCATGAATATTTTTCTTGACCTCGACTACAGTGGTACACATTGAGTTTGTCATTAAAATGTTATAATGGCCTTATGACAGCTAATGTCTAAACCAACCACCTGACAGATTAATGTAATGTTAACCCATAAAGCTAAGTGCTTTCTTAAGTTTGATAATTAATCTGCTATGTCATGTTTATGACATATTTATGACAGGTTGTGTTGTCTTAGTAATGTCAAGTTGTCAATGGCAAAGTCACTGACAGGTTATGATGTATTGGTTTATGTCAAGGTGTCATAACAAAAACATCTCAAACAATGTCATATTTGCATTAAAAATGTCATAATTGAGCGAATGACACTTAATGACAGTTGTCATAAACATGCATAAAATCAAAAAAATGTTATGATTATAAAGGTGTCATGTCAGTCTTATGCACACCCCTTCAAGTAAAGTGTTACCGTGTAATGTCATCAGTCTACCCAGTTTAAAAAAAACAACGTATTATTGCGTTCACAGAGCGAGCCTTTCACTGATTGTTTACAACTTTATGGAAGTCACACCCATAATTCACGCAAATTGTCAAAAATAGGTCGTATAAATACAGGTGAAACTCGAAAAATTAGAATATGGTGCAAAAGTTCATTTATTTCAGTAATTCAACTTAAAAGGTGAAACTAATATATTATATAGACTCATTACATGCAAAGTGAGATATTTCAAGCCTTTATTTGTTATAATTGTGATGATTATGGCTTACAGCTTATGAAAACCCCAAAGTCAAAATTAGAATATTGTGAAAGGTTTTCATAAGCTGTAAGCCATAATCATCACAATTATAACAAATAAAGGCTTGAAATATCTCACTTTGCATGTAATGAGTCTATATAATATATTAGTTTCACCTTTTAAGTTGATTTACTGATATAAATGAACTTTTGCACCATATTCTAATTTTCACCAGTAGGTGTAGGAATAAGCTGGATGCTCTTGGTTGTTTATGTTCTTCCGGCCCCGTTTTGCAGGATCCTCTTCTGGGTTTATTAGAAGGTAGAGATGATCTGGATAAAGAGGAGAAACCTGAACCCGAGGCCGTTTACGAGACGAACTGCCACTGGGAAAACTGCAGCAAAGAGTTCGACACTCAGGAGCAACTCGTGCATGTAAGGAAGATTTACCGACGGACGTCAGTCCAAACCAATATACTGCTATTTTGTTTCACATTTTGCTTCACATTTTGTCTCCAAAAAGGAAGAAAAGCCATGAAAGCAGCATAACAGCAGTCCATAACAGACTTGTATGCTATATGGCAAGTCAGTATGATAGATCTGTGTGATAAACAGAAAGAAAATCAAACCGTTATTCACGGATCATTTTCTAAAATCTGAAATCTCGTTTTTATTGCACCACTCAGTGTTGTTATTGTTAACTAAAAATATTAAAGTTTGTAACATTGTTACATATGTTACATGCAGTTACTATAGTAATATTAATAATTACTATAACTTATGCATAATTATGTCCATAAATTATGCATAATTACATGCAACTAACCCAAAAACAAACCAAACCCTAATCCTAACCCTATAGTAAGTGCATGTAGTTGCTTAATATTACTCAGTACTTAAATGTATAATTACACTGTAACAATGACAAGTAAAGTGTAACCCAAATTGTTTTTGTAATTGAAAAAATAATCAATAAATAAAATATAATATAAACTTAAAATTCAAGTTGAAGTTCTAAAATTACTTAAACTGAAAAAAATATAATAAAATAAAAAAATATTAATGCTTTACAATATTTTTTTTTTAACTGCATTAGTTAACATGAACTAAGAGTGAAAATACTTCTAAAGCATCATCATAATAAATTATTAAAATTAAAAGTTATTAATATTCCATGGTTCATAATCTGTTAATATTGTTTAATGGACCTGGGCTGCGTTTCCAGATAACGACGGTTTCTGAGCACTTACGAGCATTTTCTACGAGCGACTTTATGAACGTTCGTGTTCATTTCACAAAAACGCACGATCACACGCAGGTGTGCGAGTGCTACTCAAGAGCCGCTGTCCGTTTCTCAACTGCTGAAATGTCACCGTGGAGAATGGCTCGTAATTGTAGCACACGCTTGTATTTTGAAATGCAGTTATTAAGATCAGTCGTACGATCGTTTTTACGAACTTCTTAACCTTACGATGCTTTTGGGAAACAGACCGTAATATTAAGATCAGTCGCACGATCGTTTTTACAAACTTCTTAAGCTTACGATGCTTTTGGAAAACATACCGTAATATTAAGATCAGTCGTACGATCGTTTTTACGAACTTCTTAGGCTTACGATGCTTTTGGAAAACAAACCGTAATATTAAGATCAGTCGTACGATAGTTTTAACGAAATTCTTAGGCTTATGATGCTTTTGGGAAACAGACCGTAATATTAAGATCAATCGTACGATAGTTTTTACGAACTTCTTAGGCTTACGATGCTTTTGGGAAACAGACCGTAATATTAAGATCAGTCGTACGATCGTTTTTTAAGAACTTCTTAGGCTTACGATGCTTTTGGGAAACAGACCGTAATATCAAGATCAGTCGTACGATCGTTTTTACGAACTTCTTAAGCTTACGATGCTTTTGGGAAACAGACCGTAATATCAAGATCAGTCGTACGATTGTTTTTTAAGAACTTCTTAGGCTTACGATGCTTTTGGGAAACAAACCGTAATATTAAGATCAGTCGTACGATAGTTTTTACGAACTTCTTAGGCTTACGATGCTTTTGGGATACAGACCGTAATATCAAGATCAGTCGCACGATCGTTTTTACGAACTTCTTAGGCTTATGATGCTTTTGGGAAACAGACCGTAAGATTAAGATCAGTCGAACTTAGGCTTACGATGCTTTTGGGAAACAGACCGTAATATCAAGATCAGTCGCACAATCGTTTTTAAGAACTTCTTAGGCTTACGATGCTTTTGGAAAACAAACCGTAATATTAAGATCAGTCGTACGATAGTTTTTACGAACTTCTTAGGCTTACGATGCTTTTGGGAAACAGACCGTAATATCAAGATCAGTCGCACGATCGTTTTTACGAACTTCTTAGGCTTATGATGCTTTTGGGAAACAGACCGTAAGATTAAGATCAGTCGAACGATCGTTTTTACGAACTTCTTAAGCTTACGATGCTTTTGGAAAACAGACCGTAATATTAAGATCAGTCGTACGATCGTTTTTACGAACTTCTTAGGCTTATGATGCTTTTGGGAAACAGACCGTAATATTAAGATCAGTCGAACAATCGTTTTTACGAACTTCTTAGGCTTACGATGCTTTTGGGAAACAGACCGTAATATTAAGATCAGTCGTACGATCGTTTTTTACGAACTTCTTAACCTTACGATGCTTTTGGGAAACAGACCGTAATATCAAGATCAGTCGCACAATCGTTTTTACGAACTTCTTAAGCTTACGATGCTTTTAGAAAACAAACCGTAATATTAAGATCAGTCGTACGATCGTTTTTACGAACTTCTTAGGCTTACGATGCTTTTGGAAAACAAACCGTAATATCAAGATCAGTCGCACGATCGTTTTTACGAACTTCTTAGGCTTACGATGCTTTTGGAAAACAAACCGTAATATTAAGATCAGTCGTACGATCGTTTTTACGAACTTCTTAGGCTTACGATGCTTTTGGAAAACAAACCGTAATATCAAGATCAGTCGCACGATCGTTTTTACGAACTTCTTAGGCTTACGATGCTTTTGGAAAACAAACCGTAATATTAAGGTCAGTCGTACGATAGTTTTTACGAACTTCTTAAGCTTACGATGCTTTTGGGAAACAGACCGTAATATCAAGATCAGTCGCACGATCGTTTTTACGAACTTCTTAGGCTTATGATGCTTTTGGGAAACAGACCGTAATATCAAGATCAGTCGTACGATCATTTTTACGAACTTCTTAGGCTTACGATGCTTTTGGGAAACAAACCGTAATATTAAGATCAGTCGTACGATCGTTTTTACGAACTTCTTAAGCTTACGATGCTTTTGGGAAACAAACCGTAATATTAAGATCAGTCGTAGGATCGTTTTTACGAACTTCTTAAGCTTACGATGCTTTTGGGAAACAGACCGTAATATCAAGATCAGTCGTACGATCATTTTTACTAACTTCTTTGGCTTATGATGCTTTTGGGAAACAGACCGTAAGATTAAGATCAGTCGAACGATCGTTTTTACGAACTTCTTAAGCTTACGATGCTTTTGGAAAACAGACCGTAATATTAAGATCAGTCGTACGATCTTAATTCGTACAATTAATGGAATCCAGGACAACGGCTCACAACATAAAATTAGTCTTTATGCAGATGACTTACCACTTTATTTAAAAAATCCATCTGAGTCACTACAGGAAACATTTAACATTATTAATAACTTCTCAATAATCTCACACTACACAATAAACTGGAATAAATCAACTATATTACCGTTATCTCTGGATGCGTGGGATTCTGCTGTTCAGGACTCCTCCTTTCCTCTTCACACTGGCAATATAAAATATTTAGGTATTCATATTTCAAATAAGATGTCAGACCTCTTCCACCTCAACTATACCGCTCTGCTAAAAAAAATAGAAGATGACTTTAAAAGATGGACAAAACTTCCACTCACTCTCATAGGACGAATCGCATCTGTTAAAATGAAAACATTACCTCAGATCAATTACCTATTCTCAATGCTCCCCATCACCCCTACAGACAAATGGTTCAAAACACTAGACTCACTAACAACCCAGTTTTACTGGAAAAACAAAAAATCCAGAATCTCACTTTCAACATTACAAAACAAGACTTATGCTTATGATGCTTTTGGGAAACAGAACGTAATATTAAGGTCAGTCGGACGATAGTTTTTACAAACTTCTTAGGCTTACGATGCATTTGGGAAATAGACCGTAATATTAAGATCAGTCGTACAATCTATTTTGCGAACTTCTTAGGCTTACGATGCTTTTGGGAAACGCAGCCCTGAACTGACATGAACTAACAACGAACAGTTGTGTTTTAATGAACTAATGCTAACAAAAATTATGAAATACTGTAACAAATGAATTTCAAATTTGAGTCAATCCATTAACTAATAGCATTTTATTGTAAAGAATAAAAACAATAAAAAAAAAAAAAAATGAAAACTACAAATAAATGCGAACTTAAAATATGCATAAATACTATAATAGTATATAAATCACACTGGCAGCAGGTGTTTTCCCCACATCAAGCATCCCGTTTCTTTGGTCCTGATTCTCCCGTCTCTTGCGCAGCACATCAACAACGAGCACATCCACGGGGAGAAGAAGGAGTTCGTGTGTCACTGGAAGGACTGTTCTCGAGAGCAGAGACCCTTTAAAGCGCAGTATATGCTGGTGGTCCACATGCGCAGACACACCGGCGAGAAGCCACACAAGTGCACTGTGAGTTACAGCTGTGTCACATGACTTCTGTTTCAACTCTCTCTTGAAGCCGAGTATAAATGTTTATGTGTGTGTGCATCAGTTTGAAGGCTGTAATAAAGCGTACTCGCGTCTGGAGAACCTGAAGACTCATCTGCGCTCACACACCGGGGAGAAACCGTATGTGTGTGAGCACGAGGGCTGCAACAAGGCTTTCTCCAATGCGTCAGACCGAGCCAAGCACCAGAACAGAACACACTCCAACGAGGTATGCGTGATAAAACATGCAGATGTACACGTGAAACTCGAAAAATTGGAATATGGTGCAAAAGTTCATTTATTTCAGTAATTCAACTTAAAAGGTGAAACTAATATATTATAGAGACTCATTACATGCAAAGTGAGATATTTCAAGCCTTTATTTGTTATAATTGTGATGATTATGTATGGAAGCGTATTGCATTCACTTGAGGAAAAAAAATCGACTGTTTTTCTGAATTAACGAGTTAATTATCTCAGAATTACGAGATATTTTTTCATATTTTTTGCTCTGTTTTTCTGAATTAACGAGTTAATTACCTCAGAATTACGAGATATTTTTTCATATTTTTTGCTCTGTTTTTCTGAATTAACAAGTTAATTATCTCAGAATTATGAGATCAATTTTTCTTGAAAAACATTTTTCCACTCTGTTTTTATGAATTAATGTGTAACGTAAGAACTACGGAAGCAATTGCAAGTAACAATATTTATTGGAAAACTCAGAACACAGTCCACAGACAGGCAAGGTAGAAAACTCAGTACACGATCCACAGACAGGCAGGTAAGTGGCGCAGGGACTCGATGGTCAGATGGATACAGTGCAGGTGAAGTGAGGTGACGATCAACAAGACAAATCCAGAACATCCACAGGGAACAGACAGGAACAACGAAGGATGCTGGAACGAAGAGGGATCAAACACCGGACATCACAAACAACGATCTGACAATGGAGATGAGAAATGGGTGAGATTAAATAGACTGGGATGATAGACTGCAGCTGGTGATGAGTGATTACTGAATGAGCTCTGATGAGCAGCCACGCCCCTCTAATCAGCACACACACACATGTAACAACAGAAACACGAGACATGAATGAGACATAGGATTTACCCACCGTGACAGTACCCCCTTCCCTAGGAACGCCTCCTGGCGTTCCCAGACTCCCTTAGTCTCCCTTAGCGTTCCCAGACTCCCTCCCAGACTCCCGATTGTAATCATCGATAAGGGAGTGATCCAGAATGTCTCTAGCTGGCACCCAACTTCTCTCCTCCGGACCGTAACCTTCCCAGTCCACCAAGTACTGTAATCCGCGTTCCCTCCGTCTCGAGTCCAGAATACGATTAACCGAATATGTGGATTCCCCATCTACGAGGCGCGGCGGGGGGGGAACCGGGACTGGCGGATTAATGCGAGCATAAAAGACGGGCTTAATTTTGGAAACATGAAAGACGGGATGGATTCTCCTGTACACTGGAGAAAGATTCAGGCGGACTGTCACCGGGCTAATGATCTTGGTGACAGCAAACGGGCCAATGAATTTAGGTGCAAGTTTATTCGAAACGGAACGGAGAGGAATATCCTTGGTAGAAAGCCACACTTTAGAACCGACGACGTATACGGGAGGCTTCCGCCGGTGGCGATCGGCTTTGGCCTTGGTGCGCGCCCCCACTTGGAGTAGAGTCTCACGGGCTCTCGTCCAAGTGCGATGACACCTCTGGACGAAGGCGTGGGCGGAGGGGACCGCGACTTCGGATTCCAGACTAGGAAAAATTGGTGGCTGGTAACCTACACTACACTCAAATGGTGATAGGCCCGTGGATGACACTGGCAACGTATTGTGGGCGTACTCCACCATAGAAAGTTGCTGACTCCACGAGGAAGGATTCTTGGACACTAAACATCGCAACGTTCGTTCCAAATCCTGGTTGGCTCGCTCAGTTTGACCATTGCTCTGGGGATGGAACCCAGAGGACAGACTCACAGTCGCCCCCAGAAGTTTACAAAACTCTCTCCAAAATTTGGATACAAATTGGGGTCCTCTGTCAGAAACCACGTCTGTCGGGAGGCCATGAATCCGAAAGACGTGGTCAACGACAATGACCGCTGTCTCCTTGGCTGAGGGTAATTTGGGCAAGGGAATGAAATGGGCCGCCTTCGAGAACCGATCCACCACGGTCAAAACTACCGTGTGACCCTGGGAGGGTGGGAGGGCGGTAATAAAATCTAGTGCGATATGGGACCAGGGTCTCGAAGGCACCGGCAGCGGTTGGAGTAACCCGTCCGGAGATCGATTGGAAGTTTTACCTGTGGCACAAACTGAGCAAGCCAATACAAAACTGCGAACATCACAAGCCATGAGAGGCCACCAGAATCGTTGCTTGACTAAAAACATAGTACGATTGACTCCTGGGTGACAAGCCACATTGGAACAGTGACCCCACTGAATAACGCTGGACCGCAAACTCTCCGGCACAAACAACCGGTTCGGTGGGCAACGAGTCGGAGGCGTTACCCCTTCTAAGGCCTTCTTGACCTTCGATTCGACCTCCCATGTGAGTGTAGAGATGAATAGATTCTCAGGTAAAATGCACTCGGGAGTAGACGGGCGATCGGAACGGTCAAAAATGCGCGATAAAGAATCGGGTTTGATGTTTTTGGAACCCGGGCGGTACGAGAGAGTAAAGTCAAAACGTCCGAAAAAAAGAGCCCACCGAGCCTGCCTGGAATTGAGTCTTTTAGCCGTACGAATGTATTCCAAATTCTTGTGATCGGTCCAGACGATAAAAGGTACCCCCGACCCTTCTAACCAGTGGCGCTACTCTTCCAATGCTAACTTGACTGCCAACAACTCTCTGTTGCCAATGTCATAATTGCTTTCGGCAGGGGACAAACGATGGGAAAAAAACGCGCAAGGGTGCATCTTGTCGTCTGAAGGAGAGCGCTGGGATAACACTGCACCTACCCCCACCTCTGACGCATCGACCTCCACCACGAACTGACGTGATGGATCAGGGGTTATCAGGATGGGAGCTGAAACGAAGCAGCTCTTCAGTTTGGCAAACGCAGCTTCTGCTGCGTCTGACCACCTGAACGTCGTTCTGGGGGAGGTCAAGGCAGTCAGAGGCGCGGCTAGTCGGCTGAAATTGCGAATAAAACGCCGGTAAAAATTGGCGAACCCCAGAAACCTCAGTAGGGCCTTACGGGAATCAGGACTTGGCCAATTTACCACAGCCTTAACCTTGTCAGGATCCATGCGCATTCCCTCAACCGAGATGATGTGACCTAGGAAAGGAACAGACTGTGCATGAAACACGCATTTCTCCGCCTTGACAAAAAGCCCATTCTCTAACAACCTCTGAAGCACCTGTCGTACGTGTTGCACGTGTTCCTGGAGAGACGATGAAAAAATAAATATATCATCCAGGTAGACATATATGAATTGATCGATCATGTCTCGCAACACGTCATTGACAAGTGCTCGGAAGACCGCTGGGCTATTGGACAAGCCGAAAGGCATGACCAAATATTCAAAGTGCCCCCTAGGGGTGTTAAATGCGGTCTTCCATTCATCCCCCTCCCTAATGCGGACCAAATGATAAGCATTTCTTAAATCCAATTTCGTGAAGACGGATGCTCCTTGCAACCTCTCGAAAGCTGAAGACATCAATGGCAAAGGATATGTATTCTTTACCGTGAGGTTGTTCAGCCCCCGGTAATCAATACAAGGTCGCAACGATCCATCCTTCTTCCCCACAAAAAAGAACCCCGCCCCCGCAGGAGAAGAGGAAGGGCGGATGAACCCTGTTGCTAGAGAATCAGAAATGTATTTCTCCATGACCTCTCTCTCTGGGACAGAGAGTGAATATAATTTGCCCTTAGGCGGAGACGTACCTGGCAATAATTCTATAGCACAGTCATAGGGACGATGTGGAGGGAGAGAATCAGCCCGAGACTTACTGAACACCTCCTTCAGATCCCGATACTCCGTGGGCACGTTAGATAAATCCACTGTCTCCTCCTGTAACACATGAACAGAAACAGACGGACAAGCAGAGACAAGACAGGACTTATGACAAAAGCTGCTCCAAGCCGCTACGGATTTGAGTTGCCAGTCTATTTTGGGATTGTGACGAGTGAGCCATGGGTGACCAAGAACTATGGGTGCAAGCTGAGTGTCCAGGATGTAGAATGAGATGGTTTCTGAGTGATTGCCTGATGTGGTGAGGATGATATCTTCAGTAACCAGAGATATGGTGGGGAGTTTCTGACCGTTGAGGGCGTGCACTGCAATCTGATGGGTGAGTGGTTTGAGGGGAACTTGGTGCTTGAGTGCAAAGTTGTGATCCATGAAGTTACCCTCGGCGCCCGAGTCCAGAAGTGCATGACAATCGTGACGGTGGTTGGACCATCGGAGTCTAACCAGAAGGAGAGTCGATGTCGATGAGGTCTTCTCGGCGGAGATCCCACCCGATAGTAGCCTCATACTTACTACCGGGCTGGGCCTTTTAACGGGCAGTTGTAGGCAAAGTGTCCCGCTCCTCCACAGTACAAGCAAAGGCCCTGGGATCTCCGCCTTTCCCTCTCCTCCCGGGAAAGCCGGGCTCGACCTACCTGCATGGGCTCGGGATCGTAGACGGGGCTGACCGCGTCCCCACCTCCAGCACGGTGACCCTCCGATTCCGCCGAAGAACGGTAGTTGGGTCCTCTTCGCTCCACACGAGACAGTCTGGCGTCCACTCTCAGTGCTAGCGCGATTAAATCGTTGAGTTTCGGTGGTAAGTCCATGGCATAAATCTCCTTTTGGACGCGGTCAGCCAACCCATGCAGGAACATATCCCACTGCGCCTCCTCGTTCCATTGGCTCTCCGCCGCCAGGGTCCGAAACTCGATCGAGTAGTCCGACACGGATCGATGTCCTTGACGTAACTCGGCCAGCAATCTGGCCGCTTCTCTGCCTCCCAAGGCACGGTCGAAGACCCGTTTCATTTCGTCGGAGAGCGCTTGGAACGAGGTGCAGCAGTCTTCCTGGTTTTCCCACACCGCCGTTCCCCATAGTGCCGCTCTCCCAGTCAGCAGCGTTAGCACGAAAGCCACTTTAGTTCTTTCCTCCCGGAAGGTTCTGGGCTGGAGAGAGAAATGCATGGAGCATCTAGTTAGGAAAGCTCGACAAAAATTGGGTTCACCTGAGTATGTCTCTGGGGCTGGTAATCGTGGTTCCGACTGGGAGGGGTCCACTGGTGGTATTTGGGGAATCGGCGGTGGGACCGGCGCAGCGGGAATACGCAGCTGTTGGACTTGCTGGGTGAGCCCGGACACCTGCGCCACTAACGCCTGAACAGCACGAGCGGTGTCGTTGATATTTCTCTCTTGATTCTCCATCCGCCGTCTGCTGTTATTGACGAAATCCTCCAACGTCTCAGGATTGTCACTCGCTGCTTCCATTTCTGGTCAGATCGTTCTGTAACGTAAGAACTACGGAAGCAATTGCAAGTAACAATATTTATTGGAAAACTCAGAACACAGTCCACAGACAGGCAAGGTAGAAAACTCAGTACACGATCCACAGACAGGCAGGTAAGTGGCGCAGGGACTCGATGGTCAGATGGATACAGTGCAGGTGAAGTGAGGTGACGATCAACAAGACGAATCCAGAACATCCACAGGGAACAGACAGGAACAACGAAAGATACTGGAACGTAGAGGGATCAAACACCGGACATCACAAACAACGATCTGACAATGGAGATGAGAAATGGGTGAGATTAAATAGACCGGGATGATAGATGATGAGTGATTACTGAATGAGCTCTGATGAGCAGCCACGCCCCTCTAATCAGCACACACACACATGTAACAACAGAAACACGAGACATGAATGAGACATAGGATTTACCCACCGTGACATAATGAGTTACTTCTAATTTTGAGTTAATTAAGTAATTAATTCAGAAAAACAGAGCAAAAACTTTTTCCCATAAAAAATTATCTCGTAATTCTGAGATAATTAACTCGTTAATTCAGAAAAACAGGGTCGATTTTTTTCCCTCAAGTGAATGCAATACGCTTCCGTAATTATGGCTTACAGCTTATGAAAACCTTTTCACAATATTTGAATTCTGAATTTGGGATTTTCATCATCTCAAACATTATAACAAATAAAGGCTTGAAATATCTCACTTTGCATGTAATGAGTCTATATAATATATTAGTTTCACCTTTTAAGTTGAATTACTGAAATAAATTAACTTTTTTCACCTGTATTAAGTAGTAGTGTAAAGTTTAAACTATCACGTATAGAGGACCAGCTCTACCATATTTAAAAATAAATACAGAAATAAATAATGCTCAATAAATAAATAAGCATACAATTAATTGCCCCTAATTAAATGCTAACCAACCAATGGGCAGAAATTGACCCCTTAAGACACAGCCCATCCTCATTTGCATAATGAGGCAGAAATGCATACAGAAATGTAAAAACGACAGGCAGAAATAAATAGCATTGAAGAAATAAATAGGGTAAAAAAATACAAAGGAAGAATAAAACAGACAAAAATAATATAACATGCACATAAATAAATAAGGTAATTATTACAAAGGTGAATAAATAAAGAAGCTAATTAAGAGATATATACATTTATGTCTCACTGTATAATTTAATTTCTACCTACATTTATTTGTTTATATATTTTTGGGGGCATTTATTTATTTCTGTATTTTATTTTTAAATATGGTAGAGCTGGTCCTCCATAATCACGCTGTGTTGGTTTGTAAAGGTTTGGCTTCAGCTGTAGATTGCTCTCCTCTCTCTGGCCTTCAGAAACCGTACGTTTGCAAGATTCCCGGCTGCACGAAGCGCTACACGGACCCGAGCTCTCTGAGGAAGCATGTGAAGACGGTTCACGGGCCCGAGGCTCACATCACTAAAAAGCACCGTGGAGACACGGGTCCACGTGCCTCAGGTCTGACCCCTGCTGGGCAAAACTCAGAGCTTCTGATAGAGAAAGAGGAGAGAAGCCGAGAGGACTGCAAGTTACTCGCTCCAGAAAGCACACTGGTAAGGCTTGATCCCAATGCTGTTTCTAATGGGCCGGAGCGCGTATTAAAGGGATAGTTCACCCCAAAATGTAAACTCTGTCAGTAATGACTCTCCCTCATGTTGTTCAACCCCGTAAGACTTTCGTTTATCTTCGGAACACAAATTAAGATATTTTTGATTAAATCTGAGAGCTGGATCACTCCTCCATAGGCTTCTATTGTTATTGAAACTTGCCGGCCCAGAAAGTTATTAAAGACATCGTTAAAATAGTCCGAGTGACTACAGTGGCTCAACCTTAAGTTTATCAAGCGACGAGAATACTTTCTGTGCGAATACAAATTTGTGTTACGAAGTCTTACGGGGTTGAACAACATGAGGGAGAGTATTTTTATTTTTAGGTGAACTACCCCTTTAAGGGTTTTCTGTTAGAGCGGTGTCGTATTAGCGGCCCTAGGTTAATAACTAATGATCTTTACAACGGAAGTGAATCAATCAAAACTAACTTTATCTGGACAATAACTTTATTCTAGAGCTGCTGTAAAGCCTAAACAATCTCTGTTACTGTAATCTCCTGTTATCACTGTAAAGCTGCTTTGAAACAATCTATACTGTTAAAAGCGCTGTATAAATGAAGGAGACTTGACTTTAATGGATAGTAGGGCTGAACGATATATCATTTTAGCACTGGTTCGGAACGCATGTGATTCGCGGATTAATTGCAAACTTTAACCATCATAGACTGAAAGTTTATCATTTGCATGTGTTTTAAGTCGAAACAGCACGTGAACTCCGAATTCATTTCTTTTGCTCTTTCTTTTGAGCTTAAACGGACACATGCACGCAAAATAAAGTCAAAATGCCCGTCTCGGCGAGTATCCTCGTAAACACAGTCGGTTGTGTGTTGTAAACAGAAAGAAAACGAATGCGTGTCATTTCTATTAGGTCCCTGCATTCGTCTTAAAGTGACAGCAGCCTAATATACCCTCAGCTGTTTGTGTCACCAATGTTAATCAAAAGAGAAAGAGAAAATTACTTGTAGCTTTAACAAAGATAAATTGTATTAATTAATTAATTATATTGGTTATATTTCATTTATAGAGCGAATACTGTTATTTTACATTTGAGTATTGAATTTCTGTACCTGAATACTGTTATATTTACCTAAAAATTGAATTATATTTGTCTTCTATTGTATTTATCTACGCTAGTAAATTGTTTATTAATTACTATGCAGATTCACTCCCCTACAAAATCACCCCAATTATCCTAGAATGATTAATTCTTTTCAAATAGAGCTATTAATCAACTGGTTGTTCAAATTGTTTTTATAGCGCAATATATATCACAGAAAAACAAAATATCGCAATGCAATTTTTTCCCCAATATCGTGCAGCCCTAATGGATAGTCACGTGCATAATAACTACAGTTACATCTTGAATAATTTTTCTCGTCCTCTAGAAATCTCAGCCAAGCCCCGGTGGCCAGTCGTCCTGTAGTAGCGAACGTTCTCCACTAGGGAGCGCCAACAACAACGACAGCGGTGTGGAGATGAACCTGAACGCAGCGGGCAGTCTCGAGGACCTGACCACACAAGAGGAGAACGGGAACACCGGTGTGTCCGAGTCCAGCGCTGGCGTGGGGTCGCTGTGCATGTCCGTTCAGGCCTTGAAGAGGTTGGAGAATCTGAAGATTGACAAACTGAAGCAAATTCGCCGGCCAACCCCACCTGGGCGGAGCGGAGGAAACAAACTACCGGCTCTCTCAGGTAAAAGACGAGGCAAATCAAGCACATTCGGTTTTTGATCGCAGGTTATTTAACTCGTATACAGTCAAACCAAAAATCATTCAAACACCAGATATAATTTTACTAGTGGGTGCAGGACACAATAGTTTATATAATAAATGTAAGTGAGGAGAGCAAAAATTAAGTTAACTGTGACATATTATACCCCAAAAATTCTTCATACAGTGACTAGAGGTAAAAATTTTACAAATTTGGGACCAAAAATGATTCCTCCACTTTGAGCGGATCATGTTTTCTTCAGTGTGTTTTCTGTAATTGCTAATGCTCTTTTTACACACAGACTGAACAACATGAAGCATTGCTTGGTCACTGGTTGAGCTAAACTGGTATTATCTAATTGTGTAGTTAAATTTAACAGCTGACAGATATTCAACATAATTCATCATTTGTGAGACAGTCTAACAGAACCAGCGAAATATAAACAGATTTTAGATTAATCAGTCAAATACGCAACATTAACAATATAACAACATGCACACAATGACCCAGCTGCACAAGAGTCAAATAAAATGTTATTTTCGTCAACTAAAATGAATGCAAAAATTAAAACGGACTAAAATTAATGAATATGACTTGACAATATTTCCAGGATATAAAAAAAAGAAAGTTTCTTATTTTTTGGCGATAAGAAATGACTGTCAGGATTTACTAAAGACACGCAGTGTATGATTAGTGCTGAAAAAAGCTGTGGACAAGGTAATTTTTTGCGGCTGACCTTATTAAATATGCATTTGTACGAGTTTCCCTTTAAGGCGTAAAATGAAATGAATCATGCAAGGTGATTTACTAAGGTTTACGCTCGTCAATTTACTGGTATTTGCGGCATTATTCACCACCCAAAAAAGCATGTCTTAAACCAGACGGTAATTTGCGCTGCTTTTGGTAGATTGCGTTGGTCATTATGGAAATGTTCCGGCTGCGCGTAGAACTTTCCACTCCCATCTGAGCTTTTTTGGGGATTGCACTCCCCCCAAAAAAACATTAATTATGCTAGATCATCGGAACTTAGAACTGTGCTGTGAGGTTACAATTAAATTTACATGTTTTCATTTGGCATCATATGCATTTAAAGTCCCCCTGTGGTGAAAATCAAGCTTTTGAATGTTGTTTATGTGTCTATGTGGTGTTTTTAATACGCTTTAAAACCATGTGTAAATTCATAAGTCCACAAACCATGTGTAAGTTCATAAGTCGACAGCATTGCTGAGTATTTCCTCCTTAAAACTGCAGTGAACCAAAGACAGTCTCAAAAACACGGTTTGAAATCGCTGGTGTTTCTGACGTCACAAACGACCTTGTAACCAATCAGATCAACGTGTGATCGTCAACCAGTGGATCTCTGAGCTGAGTGAGTGAGTGGAGGCGGGGCTCATTTGCATATTCATAGAACCGCGTATACTAAATGAGGCAAGGGTGTCAGTCAAGCTATTTTAAAGCACAAATAAATTTTTTTCAAGGAAAAATGTTTAAATATGTCATTTTGGTGATCAAAGATGAGTTTTAAGGGATACAATTATTGACTACAGGGGGACTTTAAGGTTTACATGTAATAGTAATACATCGCTAGCCTCATGGTTTTCTCAGTAATCTAATGCTAACTCTGCTTCCTTCTCTGCTCCTTTCAGCAACAGGAGAGATGATGGGCATGTGTGCGCCCTCGCCCTTACTTTCCAACCGGCGTGTAATGGAGCTTTCTGCTCCTGATCTGGGTGGAGTAACCGGAATGGGAATGTCTTGCCAACCGAACGATCGGCGCGGCAGCGGCACAAGCAGCCTCAGCTCTGCGTACACAGTTAGCCGTCGTTCGTCAATGGTCTCGCCCTACCTGTCAAGCCGACGCTCCAGTGACGTGTCCCAGGTGGGTCACTGCCAATCCGTGATGGGAACCGATGTGCCCGGTGACCCACTGTCTCCTCAGAGCAGCCAAAGAAGTGGATCATGCCAGAACGCTGGTGGATTGCCAGGTCTACCGAGTCTTACACCGGCACAACAATATAGTCTGAAGGCTAAATACGCGGCAGCAACAGGCGGTCCACCGCCAACCCCGCTACCCAACATGGACCAACCCGGTAGATACTTGAGGGAATGCCACGGCCAGCCTCTTCCTCCATTTATGCAGCAAGGAGGCATAAGAAGGAACAGTGCTAATGCCGAATACGGCACAGGAGTGATCTATCCACATCAGGCACCCGGAAACAACACGAGACGTGCTAGTGATCCAGTGCGCTCAGGAGCCGATCCGCAGGGTTTACCCAAAGTGCAACGCTTCAATAGCCTGAGCAACGTGTCTCTAATGAGTCGTCGCAACGCGTTGCATCATTGCGGATCTGACGCGGCTCTCAGCCGCCACATGTACTCGCCTCGTCCACCGAGCATCACTGAAAATGTCATGATGGAGGCCATGGCTATGGAACCTCACGGGAAAACCGAAGGCAACATGATCCCGGGTGGAGACAGAGCTTACATGGGCTACCAGCAAACTCAGCTACACCCTCACAATGCAAGTCAACTGTCTCCTGGACAAGAAGGCTTGGGATGCATGGATCAAGTCTTCCAATCTCAAATGCAAGGTCCGTACCAGGGTCAGCGCGAGGAGATCTGTGCAACTGGAGTGATTGGTCAAGCTGATATTGCGAACAATCTTCTACAGCAAGCTGAGTATGGTATGAGTACCTGTCAGCTTAGCCCATCCGGCCCACACTTTCCTAGTCAAGGTGATGGATCAGGGCCATGGGGATCAACTAACCAACTCCACAGTCCTCAAACCGGCATGCAGTTCCAGGGTGTAGGCATACAAGGACAGCACTACCTTCAACAGGGCGTATATGACCCTACATCTGACCCTGGCCATCAAAGAGTTACTGTAAAACCTGAACAGTTCCATCCGTCAATGGGAGGATCCAGTTCTTGCCAGAACATCAAACCTCTACACCAGCATCGGCATAATGCAAACATGCAGGGATATCCACAGCAAGGCCAAGGCCTCATGGGCAGATCCTCTAATGCAAGCTGTGACTTCCTTCAAGGCCAGATGGGAACGCAAGCCGGTCTTCCGCAGCAAAGCCAAGCGGGATCATTCCCGAGTGGAGGAGGTATAAATCTTGCACTTGCAGAAAGCCGCAGGTCGCAGACCCCAATGCATCAAATGAAAGAGATGATGGTGAGGAACTACGTGCAATCCCAGCAGGCTCTCCTATGGGAACAGCAGCAGGAGCAAAGTGTAGTCGATGGTCTCTCTGGGAAGCCTGATGGGATAGACATGGGAGGACAAACGGCAATGATTCAACACAGTCCACAGCATCAACAACCTAACCAGAACCTTTATCCCGGTAATGCTTATCAAGGCTATCCGAATCAGAACTTAATGAGCCCACCGCAAAATCGAGTTCCCGGTTCTGTTAAGGAGCATACAGCTGGGATGCAGGGATCGTGCTATGGGCCGGATATAGTGCCAAGACCACCTCAGGGACGAAAGCCTTTGAGTCGCCAGAACAGTCTTTCCCAGTCCCAACAAGCAGGTGGAGCTTACCTGGGAAGCCCACCTCACCTCAGCCCGGTCCACTCCACCGCCAGTCCCAGAAGAGGAGTGCGCCTCCCACCAGTCCAACAACAGCATTCGGAAAACTTCACAAATAACAACAACCCCATGTACTACACAGGCCAGATACACATGCACCATGACATTGAGAAGCCTCAAGATGGTCCATGCCTGGCGCAGCAACACCTGACTGGGATAGACCCTAGTACCAAACCCACATCAATGGCCTACTCAGAACCAGCGCCCATGTCCAACGCCTTAGAAAACCTGGACTTGGAGAACGCTCAGATTGACTTTACCTCCATCATCGATGACCCAGAGCCTTCATCTTACAGTCCAATAAACCCACACCACCATTGCTCCTCTCAGACCTCCTCCCGTCTCACCACACCCCAAACCTCCATCACCCTTCCAAGTGGCCTGTCTAATATGGCAATCGGGGACATGACCTCAATGCTGACGTCCCTAGCTGGGGAGAACAAGTACTTGAACACGTTGTCTTAAAGTGTTTCTACAAATAACAGGGCCAAAGTGAGCATGTTGACTCAGAAACTATTGCCCTCACGACACTAAAGGTTCCTCTGAACGTCCCTTTTCTTGCTCGTATGGCACGTACTGATTAGGGATGCACGATGTGAAATTTTGGGCCGATATCGATAACCGAAAATTCTTTATATTTGAAAGCCGATAACCGATATATTGGCCGATATATCTAAATCCAAATTTTTTATAATTTTTGAGAGCCTGATTACAAAATACTAAAGTCTCACCATTAAAAGCCATGTCTCAAGCACACAATTATAATGTTCTCATTATAATTTTATGTAGCCTATATGACAGACTTGCGCTGCACATGTTGCACTTTCCTGTATTTTCCTTTTTTGAAGTGATTCTAATCATATTTCAATTAATTCAAAACCATCATGATGAACAGTGCACATCTGAAGAGTCTCAGCTGATGGAAATAATCCATTAGTTATCGGCTTTAATATACAAGTCAAATTTTCTTATCGGGCCGATAACGCTAACATTAAAAATGAACATATATCAGCCGATACCGATATGGTGGCCGATATATCGTGCATCCCTAGTACTGATGGTTCTGCTGGTGTCCAATATGGGATCACACAGATTTTGCGTAATGGTGTTTTGTTGCTTGACACTACCGCCTAATGACTATTATTCAAGGGGCATTCCAGTCACTACTGTGAGACTGTAAAGATGGAAGTCTTTGTTTAAAATGTAAATATGAGCATTGGACTGTAAATGGTGGCAAGATAGAAACAAAGAAAATTTACTTTTAGATATATATCTGGACTTGGACTGCCACATGAACACCACATAAGAAGACTGAAATACAAAGTGAGTGAATGTGTCCAGGAAGAAGCTGGTAGGCACAATCTCTTAAAGTATTGGTGAAGACAGGACTGAAGTGCCTTTGACCATTGTGGCCTCTTATCTTTGATTCCTCATAGGTACGACATGTTGGAGAAAACGAAACAGTTGAGACACATGGATGGATGGATAAACAGTATGAAGCCCAAAGTATACTTCAGCGTAACACCTAGCGTATGAGTACAGCACAATGCATAGCCTTTCAAAGTATACTCCATTTGATAGTGTGCATGAACACAGGCGGAAAGTTTCATCTTTTCTGCGCTATTTCTTTCCAGAAGTTATGAGCAATAAAAAACGTCTTGGTACTCTTTTAAACTAGAGTTCTGTGTATCTATAAACTATGGAAGCTTGTTTTCGCCACAGAAATAAAAAATAAAAAAGGTAATTGCGACTTTCTATCTGACAATTCAGACTTTTTTTCTCACAATTGCGAGTTTACATTTATCAGAATTTCGCGATTAAAAAGTAAGCTTTGCGAGTTATAAAGTAAGATTTACATGATATAAAGTCAGAATTGCGAGTTATAAAGTCAGAATTGCGTGATATAAAGTCGAAATTGTGTGTTATAAAGTCAGAATTGCGTGATATAAAGTCGAAATTGTGTGTTATAAAGTCAGAATTGCGTGATATAAAGTCAGAATCACGTGTTATAAAGTCAGAATTGTGTGTTATAAAGTCGCAATTGTGTGTTATAAAGTCGCAGTTGTGTGTTATAAAGTCAGAATTGCGAGATATAAAGTCAGAATTACGTGATATAAAGTCAGAATTGTGAGTTATAAAGTCAGAATTACATGATATAAAGTCAGAATTGTGTGTTATAAAGTCGCAATTGTGTGTTATAAAGTCAGAATTGTGAGATACTGAGGAATTCTGACTTTGTAATGCGTAATTCTGAATTTATATCTCGCAATTCTGACTTTATAACTCGCAATTCTGACTTTATATCGCGTAATTGTGAGTTTATATCTCGCAATTCTGACTTTATATCTCGCAATTCTGATCTATCTCGCAAATAAATTCAGAATTGCAAGATGCAAACTCGCAATTGTGAGATAAAAAAGTCGCAATCTTTCAAAATGTTTTGTTCTGTGGCGGAAACAAGCTTCCATACTAAACTCCCTCATACAAGCAAGCCTTTATTGTTTTGGGTCTTCTGGAGTTTGTCCATTTATATTTCGACCGTGAAAAGGCCAGGCCAGTGTCGCCTTGTGGACCAACTGAGTAGTGCAAAAAAATAATAATTCAAATAATAACACAAGCTGCGGATAGTAAAAACAGGCTATGATGTTTACAAAATTGACGTCATATGCACTGTGCAAATAGCGTAGCATACACACAAAAAGTATACTTTGGGCTTAAGAGAAAGTGTTTATTTTTAAAACTCATTTCTTACTGCCATAATGGCAGATTACAGAACAGTATTTTAAAGACTTGTCAATTATCTCTCTAGGTCTAGACAAGTGCCTCTGAATCATAATATTCATTCAAAGTTGTAGTGTTTGTTTTCTGATTGTTTGACTAGTCTGCTTTCAGACAGATACGTTAAAGGGTAACGGCACTGAGATGTGTTTATTGTAATGTTTCTCGTTAGTCTGCGCTGCGCTACATAACCCAAGCTAGCATGCATATGCACTGCACTGACAACAGCACTGAGCTGAGGAGAAGTGATGAATTTTTATTATAAAGTTTCCATATAGTATGAATAAGTTACATACAGTGCAGGTACTTGATGTTTGTCAAGCTTTTGGTTTTAAGTCCTCTGTTATTTCAACACTTGTGCCTATCTCGTTTTTGATCGTTTAAGTGTTGTCGAGGAGGCGGTACGGACTCAACCCTTCAACAAATCCCAGTGTTTCCACTTTCTGTGGCATACCAAAGACGACTGGCACTGAGACGAGGCCACACTTGATATTTGCGAGAAACGCCGTCATGTGCTTCCATATTGCTGTGATAAAGAATGTTTCCTCTTTTTTTTTTTTTTTTTTTTTTTTTAAAAACATTTTGTGGTTTTTGCATTTCTGTGTGTTTTTATATCTGTCACAGTTCACTCAAACGTTTTTTTGCTGGCAAAAGTTCATCAAGTAGTAACAGATTTATGATATTAGCATTTATCCCATCTATTTACAAGTGATATTTTTGCGTACCATTTTCTACATTTTTGTACAAAGGTACTATATTATACCAGTTTATAAATAAACAGATCCTGTGATGGAAGAAGATGATGTGTTGTACTATAGTGTTTCTTCTGTGCCACTCTGGAAAACACAGACAATATTGGACAACAACATAATGTGTGTGTGTGTGTGTGTGTGTGTGTGTGTGTGTGTGTGTGTGTGTGTGTGTGTGTGTGTGTGTGTGTGTGTGTGTGTGTGTGTGTGTGTGTGTGTGTGTGTGTGTGTGTGTGTGTGTGTGTGTGTGTGTTACAGTTTTTTCAACTGCTGACACAAAATCCTTACTTGTCACACAATTTCTGAAACCTGACACTCAAACACCAGAAACACACACCAAATCTGCAAAACCATACACTAATTCTCGACCCTTTGACTCGGTTTTCAATTTCATAAAACACTTTTGCAAAACACACACACACACAATTCTCTATGATTTCCTTTTTCAAACACAACCTATGAAAATGCCACAGTAAATCATCAGAGCCTCACACACACACACACACACACACACACACACACTCCTCACACACACACACACACACACACTCCTCACATGTGCAAACACTCATTGCTTTACTGAACACCAATCATGGCTTTAGAATAGGCCTATAAAGGTCGAGTTATGGGTTTTTTGGACTGGGTAAAACTGTATTCACAACCACAAATACTTACAGTAAATAGTTAATAGTTTCATTTGAATCTTGCTTTCGTGTTTACCGTGAATTTTTCAACATTTCTCTGCCAATTAATTTCAATCTTGTCCAGAAAGGTTCACAGGAGTTCATGAAAGAAGAGCTTTAGGTTTTGAATAACTGTGTGTTTATGATATATCCAGAAATATAATATTATGGCAAAGGTGTTTGCTTTTGAGATGTTTGTGGTATTTTGAATGCAGTGCTTCATTTAGCCAAAGATTTAGCATTTTGAATTTTGTGTGTGCAATTCATGGATTTGTGTGAAAAAAATCCTGTAATGCTTAAGTATATGTGTTCACCGGCTTTACATTTACGCCGGACGCACATCAGATGTCCTCTAGATGGCGGCAGCACTACGCCTCATGATCTTTGTTAAGTCTTGAGAGCCACACACAGGGTTTGTGTTACACCGCCATATAAGATCCCTCCTCCTTTAGTTACAAAGAGAACATTTCTGCTCACTAATACTGAAATCTCTGTGACAAAGCTAATCCCTGCCATACTTGGCCTTTCCCTGTCCCTGATTATAAGATCAAAAGAAAGATTTTCCTGCACTACATGCCAGTGTGTGTTTGAGTGTATAATGCTGTAGCTCTCGGTCCCTGGTACCCTGATTCGGCCCCATGGATCTAATACAGTGTGCGGTGTGTAACCAATGAAGACCTGCCATCCATCGCCAACATTCTCCCGTCTGTTATTTGCTATATAACCGTCCGATCCTCTTTTACCTCGCTCACATCCTCATCAGCCATCTCGCATCTTCCCTCCTTCATCATTAGTGCTTTTTGCTCAGGCAAGTATGGTTTACTCTTGCTCATACTTGGTGGAGATGCACGATATATCGGCCACCATATCGGCATCGGCTGATATATGTTCAGTTTTACTGTTATCGTTATCGGCCCGATAAGAAAATTTGGGCGATATATGAAAGCGATAAATAATGGATTATTTCCTTCAGCTGAGACGCTTCAGATGCGCACTGAATATGATTGTAATCGCTTCAAAAAGTAAAATACAGTTAAAGGGAAACTAAAAGACTTTGATCAAATTTGGCCTCCCTTCTTACATTACTGTAACCAAGTTGACCAGACAATATGGGATGATTGAACTACCTAACTCTTCTGTAGTGGTCATGTCCAATATTTAACTCAGTTCCTGTAATCCAGCAAAACAAATAATAGCTCTGGTAGAATAGTAGAATTAAACTACAAAATGTCAGGCTGTGGGCTGTAATATCAAAATGTATATTTTATTTATTTTATTTTATTTTACATTATTTTATGGTTTAGTGTTGTTCTGGATGTCCTGTAATGTGTATCTTATTATCTTCATTCTTAATTGTTTTTTTTTGTTTCTTACTCATTATTTTGTTTATTTTGTTGTCTTTATGTTCAAACAAAAACCAATAAAAAAATGTGATATGATATCAAAAATGATATCAAAAATTGGATTTAGATTTATTGGCTTTCAAATATAAAGAGTTATCGGCTGTCGGTATCAGACAAAATGTTCATATCGGTGCATCACTAATACTTAGGGATACCTCAAGAATCGAACACTGTTTGTGCTATGAACATGAACGATTACTCAAATCATGTGGTTTGTTGAGGAGTGAAAAATGACTTGGATATTTTGTAAAAATAAAAATCATCTAGTTTGCTTTTACTTTCAATTTAAAATCATTACGCAAAAATATATGTTTATTTTGAGATGCCTATTAACTCTGAAACAACAAGAATCAATGCAAACCCTAACTGCTATATGCACTCAGTACACTGAACTGCTATATAGTGAATGCACTAGTTAAGATCTGCAGGAGAGTGCAGAGGTTTAGCAGATCTACAGCCTGACTTAAGCCACAATCTTCTGAGCTGAGGTTGCTGATACAAATGGAAATGGCAAAATAAGCGCTGAGGTTTTCACATGCAAAGAAGTGAAACCAGCATAATGACTTTTCTTTTCTTGGTTTGCCATTCAAGTCGAGGCTTTTTATTCTCTTTGTCACAAAGGTTGGCATATAATTAACTCCTGTTTAATATGCTGTTAAAGAAGACTCCTCCCTCTGCTCCTTCTCTGAACCCCTGCCAAACTCCGGCACGCTGGAAATCCCACGGGACACCCCACCCTAGGGCGTCCCTCAGTGTGTTTTAGGTGTTCGAGACCATGTGGTGCCCAGATTTACACACTTACGGCTGTTTTTAGGCTCATTGCACACAGCAAACTGCACTCTTTGCACATAAATGTTCCTCGTTTATAACATTAATGCAAATAACACTTTCTTACCATCATCTATTGTAGAGGTGAATGAGGCTTTTCTTTGTGTCTTTACCCCTCACATCCACGATCCACAGCAGGGTGTAGGTTTATGACCCGTTCCATCTCTTTTCCTCTCCTAGACAAAGGGACTGTGACCTCTCATCCCTTCTCCTTTTCTCTGGCTTTCACCACCTGAAACCCTTTACTTTAAGTCCCTAAAAACAAATGTCCATTAGAAACGACAAACACAAGCTCTTTTGCTCTTTGAAATGCACATTTGCACAGGATCCAATGTTAAAAGAAACCACAATACAGTGTTAGTTTTAATACCTTGGAAATTAATATGGTAATCATTCCTGTTCTTCAATGGAAATTAAAGTACCATAGGCTAGTATTAGCACCAGATATCATAATTGAACCATTGTACCAACACAGTATTTTTCTAAACGGATCCCGTTGGCATTCTGTGTAGAATAACTGCAAAAGAAGTCAGATATCAATGGAAGCACAGATAACGTTATGGAGGGTAAGTCTTACAACTTAATTTACGATGTTTATGCTAAGCTAAATATCCAAGAAAAAAATCCAGAGATTTTTTTAATCTCTGTCATTATAATATTTGGCGTTGTGGGTTTTCTTGTAATGTCTGTAAGAACGTTTTTTATTTCCAGACAAAAAGAGAAATCGTTGTAAAAACAACGATTAAGATAAAGTTATTTTCCCCTCAGAATCCAAGAGTTCGTTGCCGCGCTTTTTTTCTGTGGCGCGAGCCAGGAAAATAAGAAATAACCAAGACAACATATAATCAATAGTTTTCAAAGAGCAGAAAATACTGTAATATATCACAGATGGCGTCTTATTATAGTTAGATAGTAGCCTCATTGTAAATTGTTGACTAATGCAAGACAAAAAAATGACATCAATATTAATAATAATTAGCAAGCGGAATGTCATTAATTACTTAACCATTAACATAATATAAAGGGGGAAAAGTAATTTATTTCGAAGTGGTTAGGGATCAAGGTCCACCCTACCTCGCGCGCCTCAGGAAGTATTGCGCGGGCATTATCATGACAGTGCGCGTTCAGGTGGGTGTGTGTGTGTGTGTGTGTATGTGTGTGTGTGAATGCCAAGGTAGGGGTCCTAAAACGGTGCGTTTGAGTTTTTCTGATGTTTTCTTTTTCAGTTGCTAAACAGATTACCGTTCAATTACACGCACAAAAGAGGTGACAATGCAATACTTCCTACAGCGATCAACAGGAGAAGGGGAGCTGATGGGGGGGAGGGAGGGGGAGGGGGGGAGGACAGGTGCGATTCGCCCACACAACACACACAACACCTACCTGTGCATAAGTACGTTTGCGCTATTTTACAGGTAGAATATTCACGTGGACGATCAAAAAAGTGTTTTTTTTTGCACTTAAAAAATGTATGCAATTTTAATATTTTAACTTTAACATTTTATTTGGTTATGTTTTTCGCACGCATAGTTACGATGAATGAAATACATACCCAACATTATTGCTATGCGCTTTTAATTTAGGCCTAGTACACGGCCTACTTGTATCAAATATATGCCAAATTCAAATCACTTTATTGTCATAACACCATGTACACAACTGTACTGGTGAAATTCTTTGAAATGCATGGAAATATCTGTCATATAGTTTATGACGTTTCATTTTAACGTTTGTATGACCAGAAGAATCAGACATGGACATGAATGTCTATTTTATTTTATTTTAAATAATAATAATAATAAATAAAACTGACACACTTTCTTTTGCACAATTTCTCTCTTCTTACAACACACACACTCCGGGCTGACCCCAGACCTGCCTCCGATGATGATGATGACATCACCACAGCCTGTGATCGCGACGCGCGCCTGAGCGCCACTGCAGTCACAGCGCGAGCGATGCGGAGCGACACTTCACGCGTTTATCCCACCGATCCGTGCGCGCGATCCCCGGTTAAACACGGAGCCGACATGACGGAGAGGATCCGAGGAAAGCGGAGGAAACAAGCGAACCCGCGCAGGAACCAAG